GTCTTTCCAACAAACAGATTGACTCACCCTCACTGTCATCACAATGAAACACGTCCAGAAGAATGTCATGCAAAGCTCCATGCCTGCCTTCGACTCTCCCTGAACTGCTTCCTTAGCATTGATTGATTGAATGATTGAAAAGTTTATTAACAGCTTGTATATTGGGTACAGTACAGTACAGCTCAAAACATACAATTGTTAAGGGGATGCAGACCAGAGAAAGACTTTCGTCTTGTTTACATCAGGGTCCCCCATTTCCAATTCATCATATCATTTAAGACATATTTGACATACAGATGGCTTATTTACAATTTACATATAGGTGGTTTTTTACATACAGATTGCTTATTTACAATTTTCATTTTAGATTTCGTTCTAATACATCCTAACCGGACATTTAAGACATACCAAGTCTACAGATATACAGTTAGTAACAGAGTCTAAAATGCGAGTATAGAAGGGGGGGGGGAAGCTGTCCATTGTACGACAGGTTGAGATTTGTAAATCTGCACCCGGTGGAGGGCGCAGTAGGCTACTCTTCAAACGTTTCACGAAATACTTACCATCATGTTTGGTTACTGTTTAACATTTTGGTTTACTTCATGTAATAAAATAATAACTTCATGGTAAGGCTACTAAAAATGACAAGGCTATGTAATGTAATGCTAACTAACGTGCTCGCTACTCGTCGCTACTAGCTAGGTAGCTAACTTGACTATGTTCCATGCACAACATGTATATTACCTATGATATTACCTGATATGTCTGATCCAGCGACTCCTGGTCCTTTCATCAGACGGGAAGCGATAGAACGAGCAAGTGGTATGATCACTTTTGTGATTACAACCTGGTACAAAGCACACAGGCATCTTGTAAAAGTGAACCAACCACTTGGAGCATTATTGCCTGTGACATCACTTACGCGACCCAGAATGGGATTTGGGATTTGTAGTCTTTCTCGTTGCGTATTTTTCATAGTCTTATATTTCAACAGTTTTACGACAAAATGTGACTTTTTTGACATGGAAATGATTGTTTAAGATTGACAAACATCATATGTGTAGTTTGTGGCACAATTCAAACGGGATCAAAATATACGTTTTCTCTCTCCATTGAATTCAATGTATAATTTTTCACTTCCGGGGTCCCATGGACCGGAAGTAGATGGGCGTGACTTCGCCTCTCTATAACCTATAAAACGGACAAGTCAAATCAAGCAATCTGATTGGTTCTTAGCCGTGATAGTTACTTTTCACAACAAGTCAGTATCCCTCTGCGTCTGAGAAACTAGGCTTGTTTGAGACAAGCGAGACCTGCGCAGACCTGCGCAATTTCGATCAACGTCTTGCTCGTGCGTTGCATGATGGTTAGTCATTTTGTCCGACTTGCTCTGGAGGCCCGCCTACATGAGACGTTGAAATCTCGCGGGACAAGGACGCCCGCAGCCTTAACGGCCCGTCCACACAGCGGCGTGCGTTGAAGCTTCCAACACTTCTGCCCATTCACTTTGAATGGGGTGACGTCACTTTTAGCCGAACTGCATTTTGGGAAGCGACGTGGAGCGTAGCTGGCGTCAAAAGTTGAGCAATGTTCAACTTTTGACGCCTCGACGGAGGCGTCAGCCAATGAAATCCCGTGTATGCAAATCTGCCAGTACATACGCTAGCCAATCAAACTGCGTGTATGCTGGGAGAGACTACGCAGGTCATTTCCTCATATTCAAAAAAATGAAGGGAAAATTCATTATAGCGGTAGAGAATCACCCGGTGCTGTATGATCAGTCTCTGTTCATCTACCGGGATACAAACCGGAGGAGCGAGGCATGGAGGGAGGTGGCAGAGACAGTGGATGAAACTGGTAGGTTTTTGCCTGTTTGGGGATTTTATATCCAGTTTACTTCGTTTTAACATTGCTATTGCTTTGTATGTCGGGGGCGGGAGATTCATGTGATTGGTTGTTGGTCGCGTTGCTCGCAAAAAATCCCCAAGCTTCAGACACGCCCAGCTCCAAGCGTCAACGCACGCTGCTGTGTGGACGCTCCGTAAAGAGCGAGGCGCGGCGAGTCGGCGCAGTTCCTCTCCACGGGCTGCGGAAGCGAAATGCTTGATGGGAAACGACTCGCTGGTATCTCGAGCTGAGCGCTCATTGGTGGTTTTTACCACGTGCTGCTGATGAAACTCTCCAATTGGCTCGGCAAAAGTTTGTTGTTGTTTTGTGTCAGTTTTACGTCGCCCCTTCCGTTCACATTTTTCATCATCGTTCCACAATGTTTATCATCATGAAATTAATATCTATATATTTTATACTATACGTGCACTGCTTACCGTTTTCATACTTTATATATCTTAGCATATTCATACACACTGTTCATACTCACAGGCTGCTGTGTATATCTAGTGTATTCATACCCTGTTTATTCATCATTCAATTCATTCTATATTTTATTCTGTAGATTGTGTACATTACTTTTCACTTTACTGCTTGTTGCACCTGGTTAGAAGCTAAACTGCATTTCGTTGTCTCAGTACCTGTAATATGTTTGGCTCTATGAAACCTGATATACTTATATGATTCTGTTTTCTTCAAGGTTGTGTCTTCCTGTTCGAATGTACTTATTGTAAGTCGCTTTGGATAAAAGCGTCAGCTAAATGCAATGTAATGTAATGTAATGTGCAATAACAATAAAGTTGAATCTAATCTTGAGCAGGAACAAATGTATTTACTTAGTACATATCTGACATTAACGATTAAACACATGTGTGCATTCTTTATAAATGCAAACCGAGTCAAGCCGACTCCGGAGGTGGCGGTATGCACCTTAAAGTTGTTTGCAATCCGCCAAAAAACCGAGAGAAGAAGACGAAGCATGGACTCCGAGCTGTCCGACTTCAGGCGAGTTTTTTGAGACCTCCCCCGGCTGCGATCGGCTATTCTCGTCTACTTTCGAGGCGAGCCTCAACGCGTCTCAAACAAGCCTACTGTAGTTGGGCTCAAAAGCAAACTGCATGCTTCGCATCGGGCCGAACCACGCCCCTTAGCTGTGATATAATGAGCATATACCACGGCCTGTCGTGAGCTATTGCTTAAGCATATGTGATTATAATTGGATTGACGTGTAGTAAATATATAATTTCTTTGCTATAACTGGCATCGAGTTCTACACATGAATCATAATTATTATATAATGTAACATGATGACATTATGCAATGTATATTATTTACTATGTTTATGTGTAGGTATATTTCAGCTTGTTCTACCTTTATTGGCGCTTCTAATAGATGTATATCTTTCTACTGTTTCTATAGGCTACTATATAATCACTGTATATGTTTTCATATTTGTTATAATATGAATGTATGTGCAATGCCTATGCTGCTATAACAAAACAATTGCTCACTTTTGGACCATTCAACTAAATCTAATCTAATGACAGTTACTTTTTGCAGCCTATACTTTACATACATACACTTTACGTTTGTTTCTTGTTGACATAATTAATTAGCTCGACTGTAAAGCTCTCATCACATGGTTGCAAAGCTGCTGCCATACAGGGCCATTAATCCGTCCACCTGCTGCAGACTACAAACAGGCAGGGGCGCCGTAAGGGGATGAAAAGTTAGGACGATTCTAAGGGCCCGTGACTGACAGGGGCCCCAACAAATTTTAGAACATTAAGAAAAAAAGTTTAAGTCACCTTTCATCAATCATCAACAATTAACATTAATATAACGTGAAATTGATAATGTACTCACTAAACTTACAATTCATTTCACTTTTTTTCTTCCAGATGTTAATTATCCAAAGCCTCTGTACACCCCCCTCTATTTACATGTAATGGTTTGGTCCTGCCTCCAAACGCTGTGCGGCACCCGGCGGCACCGCATTTTCTGGCAGAGAGTGAGAGTATGTGAGGAGGGATGCTAGTTCTTACGTGTGTATGATGTCTCAACGACTAACAAAGTCAGGCTTTCAAAAAAGAAAAGAAAGGAGAGAAAGACAAGAGAGAGAGGGACTAAAGGGCGACAGTATGTCACCCAGTTTTTCAAAAGAAAAGGTGTGTGGTCCATGAGTGGTGGAAATTAGTGTTAGCTAAGCTTAGCCCATTGTAAATAATAATTGTAATGTTTTGCAGACATTAAGTAGCCTACTGTTAATATATTCACAGAAAATGCAGAGGTTTTTCATTTCACTCCTCTTTTAGCTGACATTTAATAAATGCAGGTACATTTGCCAGGACCAACAGATCCATATTTAGGCTTAGCAGCCCTGTCCCAGCCCTGTCCCAGCCCTGTCCCCCCATAAAGCTTTGCAGTCTTGCCATGCTGTCCATTGAAAGCCAGTTGGCTAGAAAGCTGGACTTCAAGGACTTGATCAGTGACTTTGCCTGTAAGAAGGCTAGGCGCTGGGCTCTTGGTGAGTAAGGCTGAGCAAGGGCTCGTAATAACTATTTTATAAATGATAATATTGGTGTTAATGTTCACTTTATTTTAATTTAAGAGGTCATGTATATTTAAGTTATATTTATTTTGATTTATGAATGTTCCATTCAAAAATGTTATTAAAAAGGCATGTACACCATAAAAGATGACTATTGAGATCTATTGTCAGGAATGTTAGTGTTATATCAAATAGTGAATTCTACTGCAGCAGAATGTTGCACATCTGCACAGTGTTATATTTTCACTGCTGAGTGTCAGTAAATATTGTGCAGTTAGTATTGGACTACAAGATAGATGCGAGTTATTTAAATCATAAACGGGTTGGTTGGGTTCTGGAGGTGTGGTTACAGCAATTGTGCTTGGTTGGCATGGCCTGTGGCTGGTGGTGGGGCCCAATGTGATATCTTTTCATGGGGCCCAAAATCCCTGGCGACGCCCATGCAAACAGGTGTTGATCAAAACACCGTGAACCTGCAGCTTCATGTTCAACAGACTCTGGTTTTCTCCGTTGCGGCTTTTTCGTTGTTGCGGTTTGATAAACGAAGGCGTGTCCAGGAGTCATGCATATAATAGCCAGACGAGCTGCTGCATGCTTCAGCTCTCTGTGCTCCAGCAGACTCTCCGGCAGCAGGCTCTGTACGATGGCCGAATCTCAGGAAGATGTATTCAACAAGCCAAAGGTACGTTATCAGCATATGGAACAACAGTGACAGCATTAATGGTTAACATGTAAAGATTTGTTATATAAGGGCGTACTTTTTCCTGGTTTTACGCACGTTTTGACTCCCGTAATCTCTGTTTGAGTGCTCATGAACAAAAGAATGACAAGAACATGCTTTGAAACGTTAAAAAAACTAATTTGAGATTTAACAAAAATACATACTGTAGGGCCATATAGAGCTTTCTGTTTGTGAATAAAACACGGAAGCTTGCAGTTTGACATGTGACTACCCGGCTTTACACGCAACACACAGACACTGTGATGAATGAAAAACGCTTTTATAAGTGTTTTTCTTTTCATTGTGCAAGTCGACACACCTTTATCATATACATATATACATATATATATATACAATGTTTGCCATGGAGCAAATAAATAAGGCTGATTTTGTGAACTTGGATCCGGCTTCTTAACACCTTGTATTCCGCATTAGCGTAATACAAGCGTGTGGGAATTCCTTTTAATTCATGAGAGTTTATTCACACTGTAATACAAACACATACAGAAAAACATTATTACCGCATTATCTTTGCTTGAATTATTTATGGTAGTTATTGTATTGGCTGGTATAGAGACAACTGGCTTTCATAACAATGCCTTGAAGTGAAATGCCCCTTTTGTTTACAGAGTTGCATAAGCACATTAAGCACTCCTGTGTGAAATGTAAACTCAGTGTGCAGTGTAACCTTTGGAGTGCTGACTGAGCAGGCACCTGGTGCACCAGGAGCTAACAGCTGATAAGAGACAGGAAATGACAAATCCACTAAAAAGAGTGAAGTGGGCTCTGTTTCCACGTGTGTGTGTGAGAGAGTGAGAGTGAGAGAGATCGATAATGAATTATTAAAGGAGAGGCCACAGGTCGGTGGAGACTGCTTGCAGAGATAGTCTCATTAAATATGCATTTGCTTTGTGCAAATTATACTATATTATATCCGTGCTTCATACACTTACTAAAGTAACAATATGGCTACACAGTCATGACAGTGTGTGCTCATGTTATAAATGGAATTGATAAGAAACAGTAACCAATAATTACTTTCTAGTAGTGTTTAAAGGTGGGGTATGTAATTTATTTCAGAAACACTTTGTGTTATATTCCATAGAATGCTCTTAACATCCCGATAGCAATGAATATATTAAATGCTTTGACAATAAATACATTAAAAAAATTGTAGCGCTGTAAAAAGCACGACCAATCATCTGAGCCCGCCCGGCTAAAGTAACTGGATGGCCTACCTGCCTGTCAGCCTTCCATCTGTGCACACACTTATCTCGTGCCCTCATTGGTCATGTGCGCGTTCGTGTGTGTTGGAGGAGGGGCTCTGTAAGGAAGTCTGAAGGAAGAGGCAGATTTTTTCCGGTTGTGTTCTTTCAAATTATAGCGCACTCGAGCTGGTTTCTCCAAAATGACATACCCCACCTTTAATCTCCTGATTATTGCCTCAATAATTACAGGAAAAACCTGTGCATATTTTTATTTGTTGTTAAAAAAAATGACCTGGAAGATAAATCAATAATGAAAATAGTTTATGTTTTATTTTCCTTCAATAAATCAATCAATCAACTATTTGCTTTGGTCAAATATCTGTTGTAGGTTTACAGTGATATACAACTGGATCAGATAAGGAAACAAAAAAGTGTCAAAACCCTCACAATTGAGAAACCTAAACTACAATATGTGTGCCACTTTCTTTTGTAATATTGTCTGGTTGCAATAAGCTTCTGATTCTATACATTTTCACAAATACAAAACTTAAATAAAAACGAATTCTGGTCGAAGGCAAAAGGTTTTATTGGTTGAGTTACAACTGTAATTTGGTGCGGTGCTTCTCATTAATTATACATGAACAATGTCATTAGTATACAATTACTTATATACATCACCACATTGTGCTGCAGGAAGTGCAGTGTGTACTGAAAGAGTATCCTGGTGTTGTTTATGGGTTAACCAGCTGCAAACGGTCTCATCACATCAGGCTTTTAAGGGAAGAAAATAGATGTAAGCAACATAGAGGCTCAAGCTGCTAACATCTCTTCTTGGTGTAAACATTTGATCTCATGATCTTTCCTAGTATTTTACCACACAGTTGGACACGGATGTAACACAAGCATGCTTTTGCTTTTGCTATATGAGCAGTGAGATAAGGAAGCAGATAAAATAGCAGTTGGTCACGCTCATCGTTTATTTAATTATATATTAACGGTTTATTTCAGCATATTTTCTTGATTACTTAAAGGAGACCTATCATGCCATATTTGAATAATATATTGTAGGGCCATATCTATATAAGCTATATTTATACGTTTTCTTTTTCAAAATACCAAACAGATCATGCATTTTAGCCATGCCTCATGTCGCTCTATTTTGAGCGAAATGTCTTTGCATGCGCTGCAGCTGACCACGCCCCCCTGCAAAGGAGGGGGCTGAGTTACCAGCGTCATGTTACCATGCTGTTACCATGCCACGGCAACATCTCATTCCCCTGATTGGTGGAGAGTTGGCCATATAGGCAGAGCTCCTCGTCACTGACGTCAGACTATTTTCAAATCTGTATCAGTCTGTATCAGATCCGTTGCAGCCCCGTTTTTAGAGATTTTGGGTATGGAGGAAAAGAGAGAGGGTTGTGTTTTCTGACTCTTGGTGAGTTCCCTGGCACACCGGGGACATATTCATGTATGAAAGACGTACAAAGGTGCATTTTGCATGATAGGTCCCCTTTAATGAATCATTTGTGACTCACATTGTATGAATATAGTGGGAAAAGGACCGTCTATTTGCAAAGTATCTCCTCATATCCAAGGTAGTGCCTTTAAATGTTTTGTTTTCAACTAAAGTGGAAAGATACTCAATTTATAATAATACCAAACTGACAACAGCAAATATTAACACCAACAGCAAATATTAACACCAACAGCAAATATTAACATTTGTGGGCTTGAAGGCTGAGCTGATTAATTCCATTTCAATTGATGAATAATTATTAATTGTTGTAGTGGCACGCACGAGAAATATTGAAAAGCTGATGACTGACATATTTCTAACAGGATTTTGTTCATGTTTTAGTTGGTCGTTATTGTTTTGACTTTAAGATGTAGTCAATTATTTAGGGCCTTGAAGTTGGCCGTACTAAATCACTATCCCAAATAAAGTCTTACTGAAGCAGAAGAGAACAAGCTACTTCTTATTCACAACCACACTCATTTTATTTTCTTCTTTCCAAACCATAAAATATGAATTCAATATCTGCTGTCAGATTTCGTTTCAGTTTGACCACTCCCTGACTGATGTACAAAAATAAGACTTCAGAGGAGAAGCGTAAATATATCTGTCATCTGTCTGGATAAATCAGAGCTCTCTACGCCAGAACATTCAACTAGTTTAACCCTTCTCCTGCCTCGAACCACTCGCTGATCAGTCATGTCGCTGCATTCACAATGGGTGGCAGCTAAAAGACTGAATTGCAACCCCACCATCAAGGAACTTTTGCTCAGTTTTTTCCCTCTAATCTGTAGAACTACTTTTGATCGACAGGTTAATAAAACATTTTGGTTTATCTTCCTCCTCGACAGGTTGAGCTTCATGTGCACCTCGATGGAGCCATCCGGGTGCAGACCATTCTCGATGTTGCCAAGTGAGTTATTAAGAAAATATAATTGTTCCTTTATGAAGTTTGAAACGCTACTCCACCCGTTTGGTTGAATACAGTATTTATAAATATTAATAATGGATAAGGTAACTATAGAGCACCAGCTTATAGACATACTAGCATTTTAGAGGTATAATGCTCGAGCCAATAAGCAATAGGAAATTAAAACTGCAAGTGCCCATAAAAGCCAAATTGATGAGCTAAAATATGCTCAAGTGCTAAAGGGATAATACAGGATACATTGGGTCAAGATTCTCTGTGTGTAAAAAATATCTTTTTGAGCAGCTTTAACTACAAAAGCTTCAAAACATCACACAACAGCAACCCACTGTTCAACTTTAAAGGGGCCCTTTTATGCTCTTTTGGGGTTTTCCCTTTTCTTGTAGTGTGTAAACTAACTGCATGTAAATGGTGTGACTGCCTGAAACACCTCCATTTGACTCCTTTGTTTACTTCCTGAACATAGTGACGTCACTACGTAACACTTTCGCTCCTATTGGCTAGCGCTCCGACACATTGAACGTGATAAGCTAAGGGGCGGAACATCTCTAAGTGGTTGACCAATCACAACAGAGCTAACTAAACAACCAGCTAATCAATCAGAGCAGACTGGGCTCTGGTTTCAGACAGAGGGTGAAAATAGGTGCTGCAGCACAGGCAGTATGAGAGAAATAAAGAGCTTTTTGAACATTAAAGCATGGAGACATGTCACAGTAGAGGCACCAAATACTAATATGAACCTGAAAATGAGAAAAATAGGGCCCCTTTAAGAGTTTGTCGATTTTGGGATATATTTAAATACACCTTTAACTGTCAAAACTGTCCCTGAACTGTTTCATTTCCCCCCTCACTTTTCTGCAGGAGACGCGGCATCCATCTGCCAGCAAACACCAAGGAGGAGATGACGCAGATTATTATCCTTGAAGAGCCGGCCACCCTCACGAAGTTCCTGGGGAAGTTTGCAGCGTACATGCATGTGGTTGCGTAAGTGCTGACATGTTTCATTCAATGACTCAGTTTAATAGGCAGTTTAATTATTGCCAAAGGTGTTTTCTTGCTGAACAGGTGACAGGGAGTGCAAAGTGCCAGATTGGAAGTGATTAAGAGTCAGGGTTCACTTTGTTAGTGTTGCAGGAATGTTTCTCCACCACCTGTATGAGGGTAAATGTCCAGGCAGCAATCAACACACATGCACAGTTATATTATCTGAGTTATGATGCATTTGAAGGGTTAAAAGCGGAGTGTGTAGTTTGTGATTGATGATGGGGGAGTGGATTTTAAATGCCAGACATGCGGAACAGGAACACATCATTATCGAGATCAAGTGACACCCTGGCAACCAAACTAAGAGGAGAGGAGAGTCTTTCCGGAGTCTTATATTTAGTCCTCCAGTGACAGGGCTGCTGAACTGTTAAGAAAAGACCAAATAAAGACACGAAAAAGCGACCAACAATGACGGTCTGTAGAGGCCGGGCTGCAGCGCGCAATTCTGCTGAATGGCCCCTCTTGTATCGAGGCTCTTGAAAGCCCTGTGTCCAACAACATTGGGAACATGCTAGCTGAGTTTAGCGCATGCAGAATTGTTGTATAAGCTCAGTGGCTGATGTGTGTGCAGGGGGTTAAGGAGAGGATGCTGGAGAACAACATGCATTCTGTGTGAATGCTGGAAGCTGTGTTGTGCGTCATGTGATGTGGGAAAGTGTTCTTTCTATTATTGTCGCAACACTAAAGTGTATTGTCATCTGGTACAATCATGCCGGCAAGACAAACAAAAAATATTGCAGCTGAAACATTTGAAAATTACAAGGTTAAGGTTTGAATGAAAAGGAAGGGCGCCTGAAAAAAACGCCCTTTTGTTTTTAAATCTGCACAGCTCTCCATTTTTAATTATAGTATTTTTTTATATCTTTTGTTATATTTATGTGGATATTCGCTTTAGTTTTTATCTGATATAATAGTCATCAAAATTGTTATATAATTGCTCTATTTTTGCTCCTTTTACTACAACTTTTCCCTTTTTCTTTGTCTATTAATGCACCATTTAAACCAGGGGGGTCAAACTCAAACACACAGTGGGCCAAAATAAAAAAATGGGTACTAGTCGAGGGCCGGACTGGTTCAATGTTTAGTGCAAAACGTATTGAAATGAACTTATTGCACATATTAAGCCTAGAACTAACAAAGCTTAAATTATTGCCTATAAAAACAATATCAAACATTAAATAATCAGTTGCAGTCATTTCTTATGGATCTATCTGCAGCTTTTCCTCAGTCATTTCTTATGGATCTATCTGCAGCTTTTCCTCAGTCATTTCTTATGATTACATTTTTCCACAGGCCAACAGCTTCAAAAAAACTATTTCCCTCAAAGAGAAAACCAAACACGCCCTGTTGTCGCAAGAAAGAAAGTGCAGAAGGAAACATCCATGTAAACTCAGGTTGCTGCTCTGTGATAATAATAATAACTTTGATTTATATAGCGCCTTTCAAGGGATCGCTTTACAAGTAATAGGGCAAAAACACAACAAAACAAAAGTCAGACAGACAAAACAACAGATCGATTTAGGGGCCGAAAGCCTTGGCAAACAGATGGGTCTTGAGGGCCCTTTTGAAGGCTTCAAGTGTGGGGATGTTGCGAATCTCCGCAGGGAGAGCGTTCCAGAGGGTGGGGGCTGCCACACTGAAGGCTCTGTCCCCGAAGGTTCGCAGTTTGGTGCGGGGGGTGGTAAGCAGGCCAGAGTCTGAGGACCGCAGGTTCCGGGGTGGGGCATGTGGGTGAAGGATGTCCGATAGGTACTGGGGGGCAAGGGCATGGAGGGACTTGTAGGTAAGGAGGAGGACTTTGTAGGATATGCGGGACTTGACCGGCAACCAGTGTAGGTGGATGAGGGTGGGAGTGATGTGCTGCCACGGCTTTGTGTGATGCTAGTTCAGATACTTGGCATCTCATCTTGGGTGCAAGTTCATCAATGTTTGGGCTCAGGCTCTGAGCTGAGGAAACCCTCAGGATGGAGTGAAGGTGTGCGTGCAATATACCGGCGGGCCAGATCTAATAGTATTTAGAAATTATCCTGCGGGCCGAAATTAAATCCACCAAGGGCCTGATTTGGTCCCCGGGCCTTGAGTTTGACACATGTGATTTAAACCATAGCAAGTTCCTCATATGTGTAGACCTACTTGGCAGTGAACCCAATTCTGATCCTGATGTTGTTCAAATATTTTCTGGTTAGTTTCCTGATCGAGCAATGAATGAACCAATCGTTGCAGCTCTTACAAACATTCTTGCAAATGCATCGATTAGTATAAACGGTTGGCAAGGCTCACTTTATATGACACATTTTACTTTGCTGTGTTGTAATGGCCAATCAATCCTTTATGACCTGTGGCACAGCCTTTCTAATGCAATTTGAAGTATTTGTCAGAAGGGAAGCTGAATACATTTAATAAATCCTACTCTTCTTAAAGTCACACTAACCTCCATTTAGCAAAAACAATTCCCCAATCAGTTGCATACAGTATTTCACTTTTCCCTGCTACCTCTTTAAATCCTTAAGTGTATGTGGAAAATAGTTTTAAATTAGTCCCATGAAACAGTATAAGCCTATTAGTGAGTCATAACTATTTGAAAGATGGTGCACATTATGTGTGAGGTATTTAAATGAAATTAATGCTATGATATCAGTGACTGTTAATTATTATACTGCTAGATTTAAAAGCTATCATAGTTAATATGATGAATTAGCTGTGTATTATTTGTACATCTGAGATAACAGATTTAATTTCAAACCTTTATTTAACCAGATTGGTCCCTTGAGATCATAGATCTCTTTTTCAAGGGAGACCTGCAGCAAATAGGTTCCACATGAAACATAAAACAAACATAAAACAATAAAGGACATCATACATTATATTTACAGGCTACATTTACATAGTTATCGACATTTACAAGTACCCATGGTATCAAAAAGCATTTCACTTAGCCTAGCTTTAAAAACATGATGAGGAATGAAATTGCTTAGTTTCAATTCTTGCTGAAGATTGTGCCAAGCAAGTGGAGCTGCACAGATAAAAGCTCTTACCTAAGACAGTCCTTGCTCTTGGCACATGTAACAACACTACATCATGCGATCTCAGACAATAGCTGCTTGCAACTCTCTGTGTTATCAGAGAGCAGATATAATACGGTAGTTTACCCAACATGGCTTTATAATCAGATAATCAGAGCCAAAGGTCAATGTCATTAATATTTTGTTGTTTTTTCCAGTGGAGACCGAGAGGCCATAAAGAGGATAGCCTATGAGTTTGTTGAAGACAAAGCCAAGGAGGGGGTGATTTATGTGGAGGTCAGATACAGCCCACATTTTCTGGCTAACACAAAAGTGGATCCCATACCATGGAACCAGGAAGAGTAAGTCATTTCTGTAACTTTTAATTGTTTTAGGCAGGGATATATTAAGCTTAACTCATTGCGTGTTTTTCAGAATCAGATCCTCTAGTAGTCACACAGAGGGGAAATGTACATTGTTACAGCAAAAGTAAAGTGGCACAATGTTAAATAAGAGATATGCATAAAGTATTGAAGATAAAAATTACGAATTATAATTTACAAAAGTACACGTCCAGGTGGACCACTATAAGTACAGTAACAGTATTTAAAGTGTAGCAAGTGCGATGGCATCCAGATAACAGTAGCACAAATAAAAGTATATATTGCACAGTTATGACAGATTGTCTTACAGTAGTTGAATTGTCTAACTAAGAGATCGCATCCTGTACAAATACATTATAAAGCGGTATTTATATGTATATTGCACATAAATCAGTCATTGTTTCCTCCACTCAGAGGGGACCTGAGCCCGGACGAGGTGGTGCACCTGGTCAACGAGGGCCTCAGTGACGGGGAGCTGGCCTTCAATATCAAAGCCAGGTCCATTCTATGCTGCATGCGCCACATGCCAAGTAATGAACTGTTGCCTGTCTGCCCAAACATCTTTGTGAGATAAGGCTCCTAATGTACTGTCTTCTGCGCTGTCTCTAAGCTGTTATTAGATAACGAGTAAGAGCAACACAGAAAGACACAAAAAGCAATATGCTCAAAATGACAATGCTAACATGTGGATTTGGTTTAATTTACATGTTTACTAACTAAGTTTAGCGTGTTAGCATTCTAGCACTTGCTAATTAGCGTTAACAAAAAATACAGAAGGTAATTTCATTACTATTGCGGGTATTTAGTTGAAAATGAAAGAAAAAATGACAATTTATAACTTTGCCTTGATAGTGGCGCTCGATGAAATGTCGGGCGATCACCAAGTTTTTAGGATATATCCTCTGGGGACTATGAATGTCTCTACTATGTATCATAGCAGTCCATTCAATAGTTCTCAAGATATTTATGTTAAAGAAACAAAAAGTCAAATGGTTGGTGGCATTAGAGAATAAATCAGGGTGTCAAATTCATAAGTATTCATCCTCTGGGGATAGCAATTTGTTGACAACCAATTGTTGTTGATATATTTAAATCTGGACTAAAGTTGTGAACCAAAGATCAAAAGACTGAAAATGCCAACCCTAGCTAATGAGAAGTCAATGTTCTGCAGATGACATTGGACAGTGCATATACAGTAATAGTGTTGGTCCAACATGACAACAGCAGTGCCAAAATACTTTCTGCAGTCTTTAAGCTGCACAAGTTAAAGTAACTGTTGTAACGCAAGAAGGGGCTGTAGTCACAAGTCTGTTGCAAATCAGAATCTGGTTGGTTGCCAAATACGTTATATATAAGGAATTGTCTTTTGGGTATTGGTTCATAGCATGGACCTAATTGGAGAAACATTTACTAAATAATGAAAGCAAGTTATATAAAAATCAAGTAACATGGCAGATTACAGTACAAATATTTTAAATATGTGTATACAAATGTGCTCCGCTCCATTTATGCAGCTGTTTCCTGTGTAGCCCAGCAGCCAAGTGCAGTTAATATCTGCCATTCTGTTTTTCCCATTACAGCTCTTGCAAAAACATGTTGTAATATTATCCCACAGTGACCGATTACATCTTTATGTAACAGACTTCCTGAACGTATTGAGGATATCTGATTTTGGTATTATACTGCTGATGAGAAGTGCTATTTTAGGATGATTGTTTAAGCTATAGCATTAATGTATGGAGCCAAGTAGGTGCTAAAACAGTAGGCTCTTTCATATACTGCAAACTAATCTAGATTAAGTGTATATGGTGATCTTGGATGTATGAAACGTTTTGGTTTTGTAAAAGTAGGTTATGTTTCATACATGTAATCAAAGCCAAGATGTGAGAGGAGAAAATAAAGGAATAGGCTAAATTACTTTTCTGCCAAGAGTTAAATGAGAACACGGATACAAATCTCATGTCTGTTAGGTACCAGTTAGCTTAGCATGAACGACTAGAACAAGTAGGAAGTAGCTAGCTTGGCCCTGTTACAAATTGCAAAGTCAGCCTAAATTAAGCTAAGCTATCTGGCGGTAGCTTCATATTTACCATATAGACATGAGAGTGCTATCAAATTTCTCATCTAACTCTTGGAAACAAAGCTAAAAAGCACACCAAAATGTCTACTATTCCTTTTAGACAAACACAGCTACTTCCACATGTCTTGTGCTTGTCATAGATATAGATTGATGCAAATGGATGTAGCGTGATTTTTTGACAATCACCACATTTCATCATTTACATGTTTTTTAGTTGACAGGACTTTACTGTTTAGTAATATGTGTGTGTTTTAAATTCTCCAGGCTGGTCCATGGAAATTGTGGAGCTGTGTAAGAAATATCAGCAAGAAGGAGTGGTTGCCATTGATCTGGCAGGTGACGAGTCCCTAAACTGTGAAGCCAATCCAGAGCACAGGAAGGCCTACGAGGTGAGCGTGTGAACACATCAACATAATACTAAAAGACAGTTTTACACATGAGGGAGTTTAAATATGTTGTCGTTTCATTCTTTGGCATGTCTGGTATACTTAATTCATAGCCTAATAAGTCAAACACAATAACGTGTAGGCTATAGCAACAACAGCAACAATAGAGCTGAAAAAACTGCTGCATCAACAAGAGCTGAGTGTGTTGTGCTTGTATGTGTTGAAGTGTGAATACTGGAAGAAAATTGCAAACGGTGTAAATACATAATGAGGCTGCTTACCTTGCAATCAAACCCAGTGGGCATAATTTCTACTGATAGTATATTGCACTATTATGAGGTTGTACAAACCTTTTAAAGTCCGCCTCATGTTCCCACAGGCTGCATGCTAATGGAAATATGATTGAGTTGTATGCTCCAACAATTTCCAAGAATCCTAAGGCAATTTTGTAAAGGTGCGTTTTGTCGCTACAGAGAGGATGGGTTTCGCTTTCGGAGAGTCAAGACTAAAATCTATGACCACTATTGGATGGCTTGCCCTTTAAATCTTGCCTAAAGTGTAGGTTAGCATGTTAGCTCAAATGTTTAAGTCACCACATTACCTTGGCCAGGGACATGCACAGACATTTGGAGGGGCGAAAAAAACACAAGACCTTTTGAAAATTCTAACTTGTTTTTAATGTAAAAGGTTCATAAAATAAAAACACAACAATGTCATTGCAAGTGACACTCAGTTGACTTTTATGTCCAACTGCTAAATTCGATATTCAGGCACATTTTTTGTTTTGCGGTCCATATCTCATTAAAATATCTAATGTTAGTAACTATTAAAGAAAAATTGAGGACAATTCTGTTTTAATGTAGTTTTACCATTGTAACTGCTGTGCAGACATACTGATAAAATAGGGCTTCTAACTAATTACATTAAATAAACTCACTAATTAATTAAACCAGTTCAACCGCAACCGCATTATTCTTATTCTTATCATTCTTTATGAGTGTAGTAACGGCAAGGTATCTAATTACTTATTTATTTAGTATTCCATAACTAAATAACAGAGATGGTCAAATTAAAGTGGTAGAGATGGCAGAAATCCTACAATAAAGCGGGACAGTGAAGAGGGCTATCAAGAAAATAGCTGACGGTGTCAAGAGGAAGTAAACTCCCCTGGTTTGTCCCCTATACTCTAACTGCCATGAGAAAACTCAAAATCAATATAAGCATATTTAAAGACGGGGACATTTCCGATTGGCCACCTAAACCATGCAGGCATTTGGTGTGATCACCATAGCCAAACGAGGCCGGACTCGGAGGGCTTTCCTTTGCTTTCAGGTGTCAGATTGTAAACAAAGTCACGTGACTGGGGACAGATGACAGCGCTGACAAGGTGTGTTTTCCGCAGCGAGAAACTGCAATACTAAGTGTGGGCTTATCATGTTGATTCGGCCACAAAAACTCTCGCTCTCTCCAAAGGGGCGGGGCAGGTCAGCCATAAAGGGCAAACGGGCTTTTGCTCGGGCAACATTAGCCCGTACCTGTGCACGTCCCTGACCTTGGCTGTAAACGCCATTCAACCATCAACTAATGTGCTGATCCCATTTCTCAGACTTGTTTTGCACTGGATTTTTGTATTAATACCAGCATGACCCTTTATGTTACCAAAAGAGGGACACAGTTTTACTTCTCTACCTTTAACTGTCTCAAACCAATGAGGCCTTAAATGTCTTTATCTGTAACCAACACAGAGCTGAAGTAAAACCTAATACTCTTAAAAACAATTTCCTCTTAAGCACCAACTGCTCTCAGGAAAAATCCAATTTAGTTTTCAGCCAGCATTTATTGATTAATTCAGAGAGTACCTCAGTAGTAAATCAATTTGGCCTGTCAGATTGAATGCGTTAGATTAATCACTTAATACACTATAGTGCACGACGTGGAACAACTCTGACCTGAAATGAAATATATGGAAAAAGGATAGATGATGTCAACACAGAGACAGTTTGTATTATTTCAGCCATTACCGTATGATATAAGTAGAGGAAGTGTCCTATAGACATCTTGGCGGTACTGGTGATTAGCTTTGGTAATCTGTTATTACAAGTTTCGTTATGTGTGCTGTGCGTTGACGTAATAGTGTAGAGGGGGAAAGATGGACAGTAAAAACGGAATTAATTCTTGACTTATGAGTCCTTTGCCTCTAAGTGACTCATACTTGAGATAAGTTTCCAATCTTTATTCCAGACTCAAGGTGCATATCACACAAAAAGACAAAACACACATCAATAAATAAGATAAAAACATAAAATCAGTCCAATCACAGCGAGCCACACATGCTCACTGTGCGCCAATGTCTTCAAATCATGGAAGAGAACCGGGTAGAACTCTTCACAGGGTTACTTAAAATCGAGATAACATGATTGTCCGAGTCGTCTAGGCGACACATGCATTTAACTTTCTTAAAAGGGCTTGACAGGTAGGTACCCCCAAGTTAACAAACAGCTGGCTGGCACTGTGCCATCTTGGTACCCTCAGCAGCAACCGTGAAGCATCGTTGAATGCAACATTATAAAACCAACCAGGATTTATTAATGGGTGTCTTTCAATAGAGTGTGTAGGTATGAAGTTGTGCATTCATAAGGATTTTTTCATACTCTTGCAACCTGTCAAACGTCATTTGCGGCAATTAATTGGTCAAATATGAATAAAATGACAATAAAATCAAATGAATGGAGTTGAGAGATTGTAACTCCAGACGTTGCTGATATTCTGTTGATTAGCTCTTTATCAATCAAGAGCAATCAAACGGCAATAATGCCATAAAACCATTTAAGGCACGTGATCACACTAAATTAAATATGCAAAATCGGTAATGTTTTAAATTGTTTCCGATTGTTTTAATTGAAATACTTTATAACTTTATTGAATTCTGGTTACTTTGTCCGCATGTGTGTTTTTATGTATGAGTGACTGGAATATGTGTGAAGTGCAATTCATGTGTGTTTGTTTGTATGATTCATTAAATAATTTAGTGTTTACTTTTCTTATGTTTAATGAATAAAGGTTCCTTTTTAAGTACTGGGTTATATCTGGTGTGGATAAGTGAGTCATAATTACATAATGTGTTTACTTTCCAACTATATTATACATATTGTGCAATTCTCCAGAAATGTGTTTTCACTATGAAGTTTAGTGAGGTTTTGAAATCCTGTCGAGCAGCATCGATGAATGGAAGAGAAAAGAAACAAGCTTCAATAATTAACAAGAAGCAGAACTCAACGAGTAGAGTCCACACACTAATATCGAAAGTTATCTTCATAACTACATGACCTCAAGATATCTGCAGATTAGGCTCGCAACACACAGTGCGTCAAAGGTTAAGAACGCAAAGAAGAAAACATCTTCATGCACAAACCAAAGGGCTCGTTGTGCAACATATTTTTTCATAATGAAAAAAATGAAGTTAGCACAAAAATGTAATGTGATGCTGGAGTACTGCAGATGTGAAACCCAGATGTTTAGTTGCTGACGTATTTCACGATTGATTTTGTTGACAGGAAGCAGTGCGCTGTGGGATCCACAGAACGGTCCACGCAGGAGAGGTGGGCCCGCCGTCTGTGGTGAAGGAGGTGAGCGAGCAACAATAACACGAGACATTACTGAACTCCATGTCTAACGAGAACTTAAGTGTCTCTGCAATCAAGCAAAACAATGAAGTCATGGACACAATGGAAATCAGTTAAGCGGCTATTGGAGGCAGGGATCCAAAAGAAACAAGAAGCTGGTCAGTTGAAGATTTAGTGTGTCTGGAAAATACATTGCACTGGTCACCAAAGGGACACAAACACAATTCAAATGTGGATGCATGAGATTGGAAGCTGGTGCGTCTCGGCCTTAGTGTAAAACTACAGTATGTCTCACTCCCATAATAAGTAGCCACTTTCTAAGAAAGCCATTCCTCGTAGTGACAGGTCAGATGTGCCACAGCAGTTGCTTCTAGAAATAGCCTGCAGATTCTGCTGACATTAACAAGAAGGAGGGATTTCTTTCTTTGTGGATCATAACCTTTTGCCTCCTAACCCCTGTCCTGATATTTTTAGGCTGTAGAAGTGCTGAAAGCTGAACGTGTTGGACACGGTTACAGAACCCTGGAAGACAAAGTTTTGTACAAGAACCTGCTGGCTCAGAACATGCACTTCGAGGTGAGGAAATGTCCAGAATAAATACAGTTTTCATCATATCTGCATTACCAACAAAAATGAGCCTGTTATTGCCCTGCCTATCGTTAACCGTGGATAATTTGTATCATTATCAGAAGATTTTTTTTATCATGTACTTACAACTATATACTGGTATGGAAAACAGTGATATACTGACCTCTAGTGGAGCCTCCACTGTCATAGCTGACGGAAAAACAACAGCAGCAAATTAATGGGAATGCAAATGATTATTAGAATCTTCCAATAGTCACATGCATGTACACACCAGGGCAAACAGTGAAAATTAGACCCTACTTTAATCCCACTTAGTATTAAGTGGCAGCTATTATATACACAACACCTGGGGAGCATTGAAATCTGCCCACCTTTAGATCAATTACTATAACATTATTATGATGAATTGGAAATGGGGGACCCTGATGTAAACAAGACGAAAGTCTTTCTCTGGTCTGCATCCCCTTAACAATTGTATGTTTTGAGCTGTACTGTACTGTACCCAATATACAAGCTGTTAATAAACTTTTCAATCAATCAAGGGTTTGGGGCGGTGCCCACAAGCCGAGTCTCCGTTGATTGGTCCTTTACGGGACTTGAATCGCGACCCTCTGCTTTCCAAAGCAAGTCCTTACAGACTGAGCCCCGTTATGTTACTCAGTGCTTCCTGTGCTGCTCCCATTGCAGGTGTGTCCTATTTCCAGTAAGCTGACAGGTGCCTGCGACCCAGACTTCACCAAGCATCCTGCCATCACGTGAGCTGTCTTTATTTTAAATGGCAGTCTGGTAAATATATCTTGCATTAAAGCAGTATTTAATTTAATTGGATGTAATGGTTTCCTTTCTTCAGGTTCAGGAAGGACAAAGCTAATTACTCCCTGAATACAGACGACCCTCTGATCTTTAACTCAACCCTGCACCTCGACTACAGCACAGCGCACAAATACATGGGCTTCACCGAGGAGGAATTCAAACGACTGGTGAGATCAAATGCATGAATAATGACCGCAGGATGAAGGCATTTGAATATGGGTTGAAATGAAAGCATGGGGTGTAGACGTCCTCTGAATGCTAATGCCTTTCTCTGTTGCTAATTAACTCAGGAACGAAAAAAGTGTTCCAAAGCCTCAGATTAATAATTTAATATCAATGTATTTTGAAGAATTGTGCTTCACATACAGACTCACTTAGGTTTGCCTATGGATTGACGCTGAAATTATATATTAGAAAACACTCCAATTTCATTTCCTGCCAAGAATTAGATGAACAGTTTGATACCACTCATATACAGTATGAAGTACAGATGTGAATCTACTGCAAGAGGAGGGTTAGTGAACCGAGGAGGAAACTATCCCATCCCTGTCCAAATGTAATGAAATCTGCCCACCTTTAGATCAATTACTATAACATTATAATCTGGTTTTATGTATTGAAACTGTAAAATGTGGTTTGTAGGTGGTTAATATGTCGATTAGCAGGCCTACGTGTCAAGTACCCCTCTAGTTTTGGTTTTATCACATGTAGGGCAGCCTCTAAAAGCCATATAAATTATAACTGGAATAAAAGAGGAAGTCTGGTGAAAAGTAGAGTCCACAGAGGATGGAAAAAACAGAGGACTTTCAACCAGGAGGCCCTTGTTTGTGTACAGAACTAAACCAATGTACCTTTAAGAAACACATTTAATTTACGTCATTAAGTATCCTACTTAACTTACATATGTAACTTTAGTTTAGTATGCTAACAAACATACTTATTTTAACCCAAACCATCTTTTTCTAAATCTAGCCAAGAAGTTCTGCATAAATTCACAGTCAGTCATCAGAGTACCCTGCACATTAAAAAGAAACAGCAGGAGGTCCTCACAAAGTGTTCATATGCTGACAGTTGAGAGAGTGTGTTGAATTGTAATCACTTTGTTCAGCCTATACATCGTCTCGGTTTAGTCCCTTTTCCTTTGTCCCTAAGAAAAGCGATTGCATCTTACATAAAGACACTTTTCCAAGTTGGAAGTCCTGCATTTGGATGTTTGGTTCATTACAAAATGAGCCTGTACAAGCTTAGCTTACAAGGTTTAGCAGCTATTACATCGAGGGGTTTTCCGTGAATTCTAAGAAGGGAGTAACACACTGCGAGTCATAGCAGATTCGTATTTGCTGTTTGGATGTACTGAATGCCTCTTGTTGGCAGATGTAGTTATCGTTGTACTACAGGTTTAGATTTGGCTGGCTAAGCTAAATGGCTACAGGCACAGAGATGAGTGACATCAAAATATTAACCTATTTGCTTCCTTGTGTGTTGTAGAACATCAGTTCTGCTCAGTCGAGCTTCCTGCCTGAGGAGGAGAAGAAGGATCTCGTCCAGAGACTGCACGAGGCCTACGGGATGATAAAGTCGAAGAAAAAAAAAGATCTGAGCACTGAAGATATCCCATGGTGTCAGGTCAAGAGATAAAGGGTTCAGAGCGATGTGTCCCTGGGTTAGGTCACGTTTCCTCCTTCTTCTCCTGACCTGACACCATGGGATATCTTCATTTGTTATATCACAAATACTGTATATCATATGCCTTCACATCACATATTTGTTCATCACCAGCTTGTGTTTTGTCAGTATTCTACCATCTAAGTACTTATATATACATTTTTATACTTTAGTTTACATGACACTTTCTACAGGATGTCATGGTGCTCTGCAAAGTTAAGAATAATACGGGTGCTTTGTGTTTTTGTTTATATGAAAACATTGTTCATCTTGTGTTTACAACCTGTTGTTATAAAGAGAATCAGGGAAGCTTTTTAATGCACAACTACTTAAGTTTTTAACATTTTGTCAGCACGTAAGTGAGGGATAAGGTTGGTAATTTGACGTTAAAGGAGGATAATAGAGGAATGTAACACTTATGGTTTACTGTGAATATCCATTGTTTGGTTAAAGGGAGCAGTAAGGAAATCATTTTTGCCCTTCACACCATAAATAGCTCAATACCAAAAGTGAAGTCTTACATTTGAACACTAGGGGGCGCACTACGGTCACCTATCTGGACAAACCAGTGTCCTAGTGTGGTTTAGCATATCATAATTACTCATTTATTTTTGATGTATATGGTTATTTAAAATCTCTTTTTCATTTCACTTATTAAAAAAAGCACTTCCATTTATAAAACACATGTATGACATGTATGGAAAGCATATTTGAATATAATAAAAAAGGTGTTAAGATGTTCCTGCATGTCGGTCTGTTAGTTTATTCAAATATATTTTTAGGTCCGTCCTATGTAAGTTTATTCACTATAAAAAAAGTCACTTTGGTACAGAGGTTTTTAACCACGGTTAAGAGAGCTCAAGCCTGACACTAAGATATTTGTAATAAAATATATTTATCTTTACAGCTCCTTTAACCTCTGTTCTTCATAGACAAAGAGATTAATGGGAGCATTGGGATGCTAGTCCGAAATATGTAAACACTTCCTGTCTGCGGCTGCGTTTGTGTACACGAAGGCTGCATACAATAATATTTATGGCTCTGGAACGGATCATTCTAACGCTAGGGTGCGAAATATGGTCACCTAGCTGTTCAAACCAGGGTCTTAATGTGGTTTAGCAGCATATGTGTGCGTGTGGCGCAGTGAGTTAGTGCGCTGATCTTCGAATCAGAGGATAGCAAGTTTGAGTCCCACTGCAGCCAGCATGTTGTTCTGTCGCTGGGCAAGACACTTCACCCCAAATTTGATAAAAGCGTCAAGTGAAATGTAATATAATGTAATATCCTAATTACTCAGTTATTCTAATGTATATATTTATTTAAAATGTCACATATACAAAATAACTTTAATGTATGACTCACACTTATGGAAAGCATTTTTGAATATAATAAATAGGTGTCTGTTTTTATGCTGATAATGTTACTACAAATATCTCTAAGTAATTCCTCTAGGTTTCTTCACTATGACATAAAGGCACCGAGTCATTCATACTAAAAAAAGGGAATAAGTTGAAGCCTTTATTTAAACTTTATTATTTGCCCCTTTTGTTTGTTCACCATGTAAAGCGGCCCTGGGTCCCTTGAAAGGCGCTATACAAATGTAATCTATTATTATTATTATTATGCTACGAGATAATGCAATAAAAACAGATTTTTATCTCTACATCTCAATCCTCTGTTTCTTTACGTATAAAAGGAGATAAATGAGAACACTGCCTTCCTGCGGCCATGCTAATGTCCACAAAAGCTGCATTCAATCATATTTATGGCTTTGGAATGACTCAGCAAACTGAACTCATTAATCCTGTTGGACTGCGCCTTTGCAGCTCTCAGACCTGCAGCGTCCCACACTGCTTCGAGGGGAAAGCTACTCACGCTTGAAAGCATAAAACACAAAATGTTACAGTAATTCATAAGTATTTTATTCCACAAAGAAAATTGCTATCACAAAGTTATCACTGAACACTAAGCAATAAATATGAAGTCTGTACATGACAGTATAATGGCGACTATGTTTCGTTACTCAGAAAAAGAAAGGGACTTGCGATGTAATTGAACAAGAGGGTCACAAACACACACGCATACATAGAAAGAAAATGACAAACAGATGATTATGATTATCCATGACTCAGTTCCATACCGGGCTGGAACAACCTTTTTTTTAATTTTTTTTTATAAATGGATTCTGTTCAGCAACTCCACAGAGATAAATCCAAAGTTTCTGTGCTTTCTCGTCTCCTCCCCCGGGAATACAAATGACCAGCAGAGAATGAAGCAAAAGAGCAGCATCTCAATAGTCAGCTGTTTTTCTGCTCTGCTCCGCATGTTACAATCGGATCCAATGAGAACATTTGGGGCCGCTGGAGCTCCAAACAGGCTGGCAGTGAGCGAAGGTGTCCTCGTGTCCACATAGGACAACCAATATAAACTCTTTCTTTTCTCTCCCCACTTTCACTCGCTTCCTTCTTTACTTTTCAATTCCATGGCTCTGCCGCCCTTTTGGTCTCTGGCTGAGTTTAGGACGGGCCTCCCCCTCCCTGGGCGTCTTGGCTGGTGGAGCCCTCGGCCTCAGGGGCTGGGGAGGCCCCCGGGTCGCCTCCTGGAGGAAACAATATGCAACAAAACATCTGTCAAATATTATAGATAATATCGAGCTCAAGAGTGGTTTCGCATCGTTTGTATAGCCTGTAATAAATCTGATCCCAAGAGGAAAGAATAATGAGAATTCTGAGGAAGGAACTACAACTTCCTGTAGCTAAGTGTCAAGATTCAAAAGCTTTATTGTCAAATGCACAGCAGCTACAGTCTAGAGATGGCAATGTAACATCTTAAATCCCAGGCTCCTCCAACAATGCAACATACATAAATATAGAGACATAAAACAAATCTAAAAAACAATAAAATAGTTATCCTGCAAGACCGTGTGCAAGTAATGCAGATGAAGTCAACTTTATACATGTCAAAAATAAATACAATAAGCTTATGCTGCAGAGAATGTTGTAAGTGAACAAGTAAATGCATGCATGATATTTCCAAATGTGAGGTTTCCCACAAGAGTGACGTAAGATTGGGTAACATGTCAACATGTCTTTGACTGAAACAGGAAGTAAGCAAGAACAAAGAGGTAACACACACAATGGTCAGAGAGGCAACATCTGCGTCACGTTCAGACATGTTCCTGTGAACAGCTTGACACGCTGCTGAGATTAGAGGAAGAATCTGTCATTTTGCTGCCGCTACGACTCATTTATCACCGAGGCAACACCAGCCAGGTCTCACTGAGTCTACCAGCTGAGCAGCGCCACCTGTTTGGGTGTTTTGGAGCTTTGAGACACAGACAAAGCCGTCTAGTTTCTGTTGAAGGACACGTTTGACATGAACTCTGGGTAACTTTTTGACAAACTTCAAAACATGGCAAACAACTCAGCTTAATTTTCTCCAGATGTTTCCTGGAAGATTTTAACTTTGTGAGGACGTTTTATTGGAAAACTCAGCCATGAAAATGTACCAGTAACACAGTGCAGACTTTAGGCGAAGGACAACGACAAAGTCCTTCTTTATACATATATTTATATTTCCAACGAGTTACGGTAGCCTCTACACACCTTTTCCTTTTCCTCATAATAAATCCAATACATTGTTAGCGAATAATCAGCCAAGTTTTACTCCTTTTTCGTCATTTGGTGCCACTGGTCAGCAGCTGCAACACCTTGTTTAAACACCTTTTAGGTCATTTCTTATAGTTTGTGGTCATAAAGGTTCAAAGTGCAGCTTTTTTGTCATTACTCGATACAGGACTGCACAAGGAAATGCTGTCGTAGCCTTTTCAACTCTACACACACAGAAACAGATATTTAAATATTTAAATTGAAATGTTATAAAATGATCAGTTTCCCTTTACACCTGATCAATCATCAACTCTTCCTGTCAGACCATGACTTGTCTGACTGGTCTTAAATTACTTTTACAGCAACTAAAATGGCCATATACTAAATGTAAAAGCTAAATGAAGACCTTAGCTCTAGATATGTGTTTTGTGAACCCAGCACCAGGTCCTTGGTATGCATATATACACACATACTCTGCTTTCACACTGTGTGTTCATGTGTGTGTTGACTGACCTGCAGCCTTGAGGTCCATCCCTGCCAGGTCTTTGGTGAGTTCACTAGTGCTGGCCGCTCCTTTTCCCTTCCCTTCAATGTCGGGCACTGCGTTCCTGCGGCCTGTGCGATCACAGTTGATGAAGTCTGAGTACGACGTCTCCACGTCCATCATCTGTCCATGACCAGCGCTCTCATTACACCTGCCAAGAGGGAGGAGGTGGGATGTCAAGTGGCTGCGGAGGTGTAGCACATAAATCACCCCGCTGTCTCCCTTCAATAGTCTGCAGGACCCGTGGGAGGACGTATCACTGCGTCTGGTGAATTTCTACTTCAGCAGAATCAATCACAAAGTGCTTTTTAAAAAGGTTGACCAGTGCAGAGTGAGGACATGAGCAATTGAGCAGCAGGGGGAATACAAAAAAGGTGTTAACAACTCCTATTTCTGCACAGATTAATAGCACTCCACTAATAGAATGTCCTAATTACATCAGGAAAAACTAAAAAGCTGCATCGAATCTCCAACTCAGGCTCTCACTTGCCTAGTCATACCTCTCAACCAGAGTCCATTTGTCTGTCTAAAAGGTACTTACACAGCAAAGGGTTTAGAAAACAGAGAGAGCACTGATCAATATGGAGAGAGAGAGCTTGAAGCCATTAAAAGGACCAGCAGCGGTGTGGCCAGAAAGTGCCCCAGCTAAAAAGTAAGTAGAGCTCCGAATCCGCCATTCATTCTTCTTCTGTTTCCTGTTCTCAGTCCATATGTAACTGGGTCACGGATCCTGCCAACCACTACAACCCTATACAGCTGGAAACTCCTCAGAGAGAACAGGACAAAAAATAACACTGCCCCAGAAAAAAGAAAAGGAGTAGTTTGATGTAGTATGAAGTTGTCCTCTAATAAAGATAAACAAGTTGTCACAGCTGTTCTTCTCCTGCAGCTTTAGTCTGTGAACATCCCCCAGGGGCCCGCACACACTGTAGAGATCCCACGGCTCTGCATGGGCAGCATAACTGACTACATTACAGCGAGCCTGTAATAAAGCATGTAACACGACAGCTGAGCGGCTGAGCTACGGATCTTTCAGAAACACGAGGGGGGGAGTCTCGAAGGGAAACGAGAGAAAGAGTGAGGGAGGAATGAAAACGAGCTGGCAGACACTGGAGGCAACACGCTGACCCGGGGCCAGTTTGTTCCCAGAGGCTTTCACTTTCACAAAAAAAAAGCTCCCACAATTGTTTTCCGTCTCCTATGTACAGTAAGCGAACGCCATGCCAAACAGGAAGCAGCCCAGGGTCGTTCCCTCAGAGGTCACGAGCCACTCAGGGAAAAGAGAGACGCTACCTGGGAATTTGAAATTGTGCACAGAAGGGTACACTTTAAGCCCCTGGAGGTAAGAGTGGTACCTCAGGAAATGTCACTATGTTCTGGCATTTCCCTGAGAGCGTCTACTTTACACAATAAGGCGCTCTGTGTTCCCGGCTGCAGGCGGTGGTGAGATCCTCTCAGAGATTGTCTTCGAGATAGCCTCGCTGCACATTCATTAGCGAGCTAGATCACCGCGGGAGGCCGGCATCTTATAATTACATCTGCAACACTACCTTTCCCTCAACCTTTAGTTCAGACACCTGTGGCTTTTACTAACTAGCCAATTAGTGCGGCACAATGTGAGAAAATGACCTAATTGTGAATTTTCTGACCAATTTCACAATTGTGATCAATAAATCATGGTCTATGCCTGTGTTTGTGGTCTACAAAGTAAATAAAAAGATGACTTTACTGTCAAATTTCACAAGAAACCAACAAACTTATTCTATTTTTAGTTTACTTCACAAAAAAATTATTTAAAAAAAACACTGACAAAATATTTAAAGGGATCGTGGGGGGGGGGGGGGGGTACAAGAATCATGGCAATATGTCTGTCAGTATAAGTATGCTTAATTTGAGCAAATGTATTAAGATTTTCAATAGTGGTAAAATTGACGTTTCTAAATAAACCTGACATTTAACAATGCCATACTAATAACAGATGCCTAGTGGGCCAGTTGAATTGTTGTTTTAATGACACACACACACACACACACAATGTTTAGTTAACCAACATGTACCTGACTGTTGCTAAAAAAAAGAGTTTAATTTGGGTAAAAGCTTATTTACTTTCTTGCAGTGCTAGATGATAAGACGGACATCACTCACATATCTGTGCTTTGTATGAAGATATCGGCAGACATAGCGTAGCATAAAGACCTGAAAGAAAGGGTAACAGCTAGCCTAGCTCTGTCCAAAACCAGCAAAATGGTGAAAGCCAAGAAATACTCTAGCGCACAATATGTCATGTTTACACTTCAGTGTTTGTA